CTTCTGAGTCATTTTCATCCCTGTCTTTTCTGACATGTGAGAGATCAATATTGCCTGAACCCAGCTGATGTGATGATCTGTTGGTGGTTGCTATATTTTATTTTAAAGGTTACTGCACAGCATGTATTTTTAAGAAAAATAAATCATTTTCATTGAACTGTTTTGACAATATGATGTCTGATATTGTAAAATACTACTCAAAATTTACTTAATACAGTCAATCCTCATAAATTAAATTACTTTGGGTATTATGTCCAATGGTAGATACAATGAATATTTCTGGAGACTAAATAATAAAATAACAAATTCCTTTTTCCAATCAAAGTAAAATTCAAATATGCCCAAAAAAGAGGAAAAGTGGATTACAATTATAATTATTAAGATTTCTATAGATAATTTTTGCTTGAGCATTAAACCCAGTGAATTCTAAAAAAGTACATTCTGAGGAAGAGAAATACAGGAAATTTAGTATCTTATTAGTAATAACGACCATCTAAATAAACTAAATATCAAGATTTAGGGATGGACTCTAATCAAGATTATTTATATTCTCAAGTCATCCATATAAAGATTTTAGGGTACTGCATAATAATATTCAATATAAAAAGTGCATGGTAAAAATGAACTTGCACTGCAAGTTCATTAGATAGTTCAGTTCAATTGAGGGTTATGAACACCATACATAAGATCTCTCCACATGACAAAAAACTATATAAAAGGTAAACAACTTGATCCTTATTACAAATCATTCTTGCTTATTATATAAGATGATATGCAATGGGGCGCATCACTGTATAAATACAGTGGAGGTGGAAGGAAGGGGCAAACCACCTGGGCTTGTAAACAAAGATGCAGTAGAAGACAGCCACACCACACAATGATTCTGCAGTAGCAAAGCTGTGTAGCTGTTAGAAACACTATGGGCCACAGAGCCAAAAGTATTTATTATCCTGGCTTTGCAAAAAGAAAAAAAAAAAAAAATAATAATAATAATAATAAACACTCCTTGATAGAATATTAAATAATGTACCACAAACTCCAAATTAATGCTAATGGTTCACATATAGGCTTCTATTCATTAAAATGTTTCTTGAAAATGTATGATTTGATAGTAGTACAACTTAATAGTAATTATTTAATGTGAATGAGCTTTTACAGGTATTTTTATATATTGCAGAAGCATTCAATTAAAATTTTAAAATGATACACCAGATGCTTGATTTATTCCTCTGAAAATATCAAACCTTGAGTTATAATACAAACTTGAAATTTTTACAAGTTGACATTTTTAAACTCTTTTCTCATCTTCAACTTATATTTGTCATGGAAAAAGTCTGTAATTAGTGACGTATTTAAAATTTAAATATAGTAAGACTATAAATTAAAGTCTAAAGTTGCTATGGATAGCCCAAGCTATTAGTATTCATTCAGTCCAAGCTATCAGTATTCATTCATTTTTTTTTAATACCTGCTAATAACTGGGGATGGTTGCACATACCTGTTAATCCCAACACAGAGGGAGGATGAGGCAGGAAGATCACAAGTTCAAGTCCTGTGTGGACAACTTAGTGAGAAGGTCTCAAAACACAAAATATAAAAGGTGCTGGGGATGATATAAAGGAGAAGGCCCTAGGCTTACTTCCTAGTACATACTGCCAAGAAATCCTACTACTTACGCATAAAAATAAATTTTCCCAGCTATTTTATTTGAATTTCAAATCAAATTCCTATACCCCTTAATCACAAAATGCTTCACATTTCAGAATTCAGTGTTTAAACATAAACAGACAAATGAATGCCAATACCTCCTTTACCTAAATTTACCAATTAACATTTGACACTTTATAACAATAATTCATCATATACTTCTTTTAATAATATTTTTCTTTAAGCATAATAGCATCATTACAGTTAATAATACAGTATCACTAGTATCCAGAGTCTACATTCTAGTTCAAGCAAACTGTCTAAAAATATCTTAGATGGCTCTTTTTTTCAATCTACCATTCAAGCGAAGTTCACATATAGGCTAATTTCTGAGAAGTGACAGCCAAATATTTTTTCACAACCTATAGATGTGAAAAAGCCTGATATTCCTGCAAGAACCACTCGACAATGCAAAAATATTGTAATAATATGAGAGGGAAACTGGATTTCCAGTTACCTCTGTACTGTTTTCCTACAAAACTAGAATAAAGCTGTAATCTTATCATCAGTGGTTAAACTCATTATAAATATATACCAAGGAACATTAATCATCATGTGAAAAATCTTGTGACCCTGTGAGGACTGAAGAAGTTTTAATATTGTTATTACTAATAACTTAGAATCATAAATAATTATCCAGATATATCTTTTTTTAAACAAGAAACAAAAAGTCTGCAAGTTTTATACTGGCAACTGAACCAACCAGTTTTCAAAGATTGAAAATCTCTTTTTAAAATACTGTTTTAAAAACCTAGTCTTAACTGTATTTTTAAATGTTATAGTTTATTAAGTTGAATAAAGTCTTAATCATCCCATAAAAGACTAGATAACTGGTATATTATGCCTACACACTAAAAATCTGACCTCTTCAGCAATTTCTTTCAACGTTTTAAACAATGCTTTACTATACCAATATTATAAAAATATATACTTTTGAAGAACTACAAATTTTTCTTCATATGCCTAAAAATACGAATATTTTAATATTCTGTTGTTATTTTAATATTCTAATTGCTTTCATCTTACAGTTCAAATTGGAACAATGTTTCATTGCTATAATGTCTAAGAAATTGAGATTAGCAGTGGAAATACTGTTAAATTTACAAAGACAAAAGGATCAGTATTCTAATACTTCATTTTCAATATATTTTCTGTATTGTTCATTACGTCTGAACTCGTTTTTCTTCAGCACAAATTACACACAAAGCTTAACAAATAGAGACCCAAATTCACAACTGCTTTACTAAAACCAATGAAAAATCTATACACAGCAATGAAACTGGGAAGCAAATAAAAGAACTGTCAAGACATGTATTCCTAAAAATAAGTCTACAATAACTATTTTAAAGACTGTGTGTGGTCTCACCCATACATTTTGGCAAGATGCACTTTCTCCAACCACAGTTAGATTCATCCAAAAGCGGTGGCACTGGAGAGCCTCTGTCTCACCTGTCAAAGCTGAGGAACGTTGTTCAAGAGACCACCATGCGTCCATGGAGAAAAGCCACAATGCTACAGCTGTTATTGATAAGCAGGTTCCAAAGGAGAAAAAACTTCAATTAAGCAAATCATCCTTAATAGAGATACAGACAATGATATTCTCATTTAAATCATGAGATGACAATTACTGTGCCAGTTCTGAAATAAAACACTGACAACTTATATAATGGAATACTCTGAGGGAATCTTTCATGAGTAATACCTATAGTCCCTTCTAGTCTTCCTCTGATAAAATTTCCATATATTATTTATGAATTCTAAAACTCTATTATGTTCCCTTATTTAAGGTTTAACCTCCTTTATAAAGCCTCATATTTCACCTAAATTACAAAGGTACTAAATTCATCTGTTTAAATCTGACAGCTAAACACACAGTAAATTAACATTTATAAATGGAAAGCCTAAATATATCAAAACTTGATTTTTTAGAAGACGTTTTTACATCTTTTTCAACCACATTATACAGGCAGTTCATAGATTTTGCTTTAACTTTCTAAAGCGCATGAAGTGATCGGGAAAGCTACAGGTAGATTAACATAAAGAGCAAGAAAAACAATTTATTTGAAAAGAAATGTCTCAACGGACAAGCTCTACTCCCAACCTGGCAGTAAAAGATAAATGTAAGGAAGTGTATCAGGCAATATAAAAAAGTAGGTAATCATAATAAGTATCTCAAATTTTAACTTGTTTTTTCTTCTAAATGATAATATCCTCTAACTATTTAATATTGAAACTATTCAAATGAAAAGGAATGGCTTTTAATGCCTTTTTAAGAAACTGACATTCAAAAGTTTTCACTGTAGAACAATTTCACATACAGTCAAGTCCCATAATAAATACAAAGGCAAACTTATTGGAGTGCCCTCAATGTACTATAACGTTCCAGAGTTTCATTCACTATATTCTCTAAGTACAAAGACTCTGAAAAGATTAGTTTCACTTTTCCCTAGTTACAATAACTAGCATAGTTGGGATATTATTTTTCTTTGGTTTTGTCAGTAGCATATTTGATATAAATTTTATTAAGTGGCAGTGCATTTATTATGTAACATTGCATTGTGGGTAGCAGTTTCCTGCTTTAGTCTAGCCACATCCTCAGCTGTCATATGAGCATGTTTCCCATATTTTCTGCAAGTTGCCACCTTTTTTTTATTCTCACAAAAATGACAGCATTAGAAGATAAATTGTTCTAATAATTATAAGAAACATAAAACACACAGCTACATTAAGCAAGTATAGATCATTCTGCACTTCAAAGAATAACAAAGAAAAACAAAGTAATCCTTATAATTAAAGTGTTAATGTCAAGTGAAACAATGTTTAAAGTAAATTAGCATAAAGGAAAGATTCATGGAACAACTTAAAACAGTTAAAAACATAGTTCTGTAACCAAATCCCACTACTCTCCAAATGAGGTGTAGTATGTCAAGATATAACAATTTGCAATTAATGTTAACAGCTTCCAACCTACTAGGTATTTGTTAGTGAAAATTAATATCAGTATCCCTTACTAGAACTTTAAGAATCTACTTTGAGTTTATACAGAAATGTCAAAACATGGGAAGAAGAAACCAGAAACACTGGAATAAGGAAATGGAATTAACATCTCATAATCATAATTCAAAATGTAAAACTATATACAATCTTGCTACTACTAACAACTTTTCATCAGTAAAAGGCTCAACAAGTTGTAGATAAGCTTTAACAGCAATGTATTAAACCTGGAAAAAGAGAAACTGTGAAAATAAATTATCAAATACCAAGTTAAAATAAAAGATTCTTATTAAAGCCTCATAATCACAGTATTTTAAAATCTCTACAATTTGACCCTGTTTTCAAGTAAAGTAGAAAAGCAGCAAATATTAGTCTAAAAGAATTTCTAAGAAAGGAAGTATAGAAATGGTACAGTACTGATAAAGTAGAACTATTATATTAAAATAAAATTCATTAGTTGAGGGAAAATTCACAAGGTAACAATGTAAATAGATGTAGCATATAAAACACTATTTTACTGCTATTCTATAAATGCTTTTATATTTTAAAATGTTTGACCAATTTTGGTAAATTTTATAAAATATAGGAAAGCAAGACACTAACCTCCAGGTTTTTTAAAAATTGATTTCCAGTTCAAAATCATATTTCATTTCCTTAGCATTAAAGCACGTAACTTACACTGTGGATCTAAATTTGTTGCTCACTTCAACACCGCAAATATTAACATACCCCAAATAGTATGACGTTTTAAGGGTCTTTAGAAAGAAATAAATAATCTGTGGTTTCCATTTCTGATTATAAGCTTGGTATAAATCTATAATCAAGGGCTGTGTTTGTAATGAATACAGCTCTCTTCATCACACGAAGTAAGCTATTTCTATGGAACACACTGTCAATTATCAAATGTATACCAGTTATTACTGTTGTTTTTATGTTTTTACCACAAAGAGAGATGAACTCCAAAGAGGACATATTTTTAATTTAGAGGAGGGAAATATATGTGGATAATGAATACACAAAGTTTAAAGCACAAAAATTTCTTTCTCTTGGTAGAATTTGATGGGCTTCACACAGGTCAAAAAAGGCACATTCAACAATTATCCAGCAAAGTTTTATACAATAAATGTAAAGATCCTGACTCAAAGACTGGGCGGAGGGGTACGGGGGTACCTGTAAAAAGAGGACAACCAGCTAGAAGACAAATAGATATTAAAAATTATTGTAATTCATGTTATGTCAACTTGAACCAAAGTGTATAAAATAATTTTTACAAACTTTTAAGGATGAGAACGTTTTGGCAAAGGCTTATGGTTTTAAGGTATGTCAGAAAATCCTGATACAGACACTATAAACTCACTCTAAAAGGAAAAAAGCGTTTGGTTACCATACAGTAGCAGCCATTACATCTTTTCAACAGCCTCACTGCTATTACATGTGCACATGGAACTACATTTGGTAATTCTACAAATTTTATGAGCAAAATCCTTTTATTTCCTTTGGATAATAAAGATAGAGATCATATTGGCACACCTTATTCATGAGAGAGGTTAACTTAACTCTTCTCTTTGCATGAATACTTGCATGTTAAATGAAAACTTTCTTTTCAATGTAAAGCCTTTTTACATGTACACTAAGGCATATCAATCTGTACTTAAAATAAAAGACCAAAGTGTATTTCTGGGATTTTATCACTAGAAGTTTATTCAACAAAAGCTCTGGACATCTGATAATTTAAATAATAAAAGATTAAAGGAAGATATCATTCACATCTCCTCTCAGCATATTTGGGAAAACCACTTTTTGTAAACAATCTTATGAACATGTTTGCACAGCTATCTTTACCTAATATGAACCAAAAGCAGATAGTAAATTGTGTTAGGAAGAATATATACAAGGATATGTCAATTCTAACACTCTTGAGCCCCTACTTTACGCCACTGTATAGCCCAAATAACCTTTTGTAATCCACTGTCTCTGCCCACCCTCCCAGCTATTTTACATGACACCACTAGTTACCATCACACTAGGACAAAGTCTAACATGTCAATTCAGAGTGGCATGGATAAATAGCAAAAAAATGCCTAGAAAATTGACCTATTCGTTTTTATAATCTTTGTTGAAAAATACCCCGTCACTTTCAACTGATGAAAACAGGAAGCTCTATTCATAAATATAAAATTCACTGCCTATGATATATAATCATCCTAATAAGAAAATGAGTTCTATACATACATGTCCAAAGGGGCCAAAAGAGAGAAAGAGAGAGAGAGACAGAGAGAGAGAACGAGAGAGATTCCCAAAGATGTTTTCAATTTTCTTCTGAATCAGAATTAGCAAATCGAGACGACTAGCATACTCTGTCTGTGTGCATTATTCCTTACTACACACAGCATTTTGTAATTTATTTCAAAGCTTCCATTATAAACAAAAAATACAGCTTCTGTTAACCCACTCAATGCTGTGTTCACAACGTAAGTATTTTACTTTATATATGTATAACATCTGCAATCAAAAGCTCTGTTAATGTCCAAACAGAATAAAGGATTATACAAAATGAATACATTTCCTCGAGTGATAGCTACAATCAAAATAAAACTAAGATTCTTCCAACAAACTATAATTCTTGCCATTCACTTAAGGTCTTCAAACTAGTCGAGAGATAAAAGTATACATAATATAAAAAATACTAATTACATTTAAACTCTATTGTAAGAGCCGCCATCTAATTCTGAAAATAAACTATACAGACATAATTTAATATTTGTAAAGGAATCCCCAGACTAATGCTTTCTTGACAGCCAATTACAATGAAGTCTAGCAAGCAGTTTGCAACCAGACCTTAAGAAAGGTAAACTTTTTTACAATGAGTTACAGATTCACAAGTTTAAGAAGACAAGAAAAAGGAAAACAGAAGGAATCCAGCCACCCTAGCAAATATGAAGCAGACCCCAGAATGTGATACAATCCAACAATGTAAATTATTATAAGTCATCACTGTTGCTCAGAATTTCGCACAGCCTCTTTAGCCACTTTTGCTCACTTTTCCACAGACACAATAATGAACTAAAAGGGAAAGTTTTTTTTTTAAAAAAAAAAAGGGAAAAAAGAAGAAAAAAAAAAAAGGTGGTAAAAGGGAAAGCCCTTAACTACAGAGTTCTGCTCTACAAATGCTTAACCTTACAGGAGTTTGGGCTCCTTCAGCATTTGTATTCTAGCCAAATCCTCTCATGAGTCACAAAAATTAAAAAGCTATATCCTTCTGGATGCCAGGAAAGGCCTTACCACAAGCCTTTTGTCAGAGGGAGAGAGAGAAAGGAGGAGGAGAAAAAAAGAGAGACACAGAGAGAGGAGAGAGGGAGAGAAGAGAGAGGAGAGGACAGAGGAGAGGAAAGAGGAGAGAGGAGAGAGGGAGAGAGGTAGAGAGAGAGAGAGACAGTAGGGGAGAGAAGGGGAGAGAGCAAGAGCAAGGGGGGAAAGCCACAGTGGTAGGCAGTCCCACTTTGAGTACTGTGAGGTCACAAACCACATGATTCTGTCTCTCCAGTAATAGTGCTTGCAAAAAAAAGGAGTTTTAAAGCTTTTGCTTTTTTGGATTGTGTGAATGCTTCATTCGCCTCACAAACAACCACAGAACCACAAGTGCGGTGCAAACTTTCTCCAGGAGGACAGCAAGACGTCTCTGGTGTTTAAATGGTTAATCTCCGCAGGTCACTACCAGCCACGGAGACCAACAGAGTCAGTGAGTGCTCTCTAACCACAGTCTATGCAGTAATAGTAGGTCCTTCAAATATTTGTTCATTCTTTTTGTTTTGTTTCCTTGCTTTTCACATGTTACCAGCTACATAATTTCTTGACAGAAAAAAATAAATATAAAGTCTATGTTCTGCAGGTATACTGTAAAGCTAAAACAAGATTTGGGTATGGTTTGTATTTTCAGTTTAAGGCTACAAGCAGTATTTACAACAGAGGGTACAAGTTCTATCTGGAAAAAAAAAGAGGGACTATGGCATCAAACAGCCTCTTCAGCACAGTGACACCATGTCAGCAAAACTTCTTTTGGGGTAAGTGCTATCCTATTTTAAAATGCTATCATATGTGAACCTGTTTAACATAATGATATGATTCTTAGAGAAACTGTTACTTTCTTCACATAACAAGATACTAAATGTCATAATGTTATTTTTTTTGTTGCATTAACAATCAAAAATGAAATTGCTGTAAATATTTGCACTTGGCATCTGTAACTTTTAACTCTAGGAATAACAAAAAAATCAGTGAACTCACATAAATCAAAATGCTTTCCAAACTTATAGCAATCAGGGTACTAAAACAGTAGAAGAAAGTTAAATATTCTTATTAACTCGCAGTAGAATAAAATTGGATGCTAAATTGATCAAAGAATTATAAATCATCGACTCGGCAGCTCCCAATATTTGAGCAAACTTCAAAAAGGAAGCAATTTTACAAAATAACAGACCGCAGAATTATTGCAACATTATGGTCTACCCTGTACAACACAGAAATAAACCTGTAGTAAAATTTAACATTTTAACCAGCTCAACTAAAAAGAAATCTATTTATAATTTTAAACTGCATCATAAGGTATCTACAAAAATTTGTTTCTAAACAACTTTATACAACTGAAGCATGCATTCAACTGAAATAAAATTATTCTAAGTATACCATAGATGTTTTTAAAAGATCTGCAGAGTTGCCCAGGATATTTAAAAGTTCACAGGAGTATTTTAAAACTTGAATACAACTCTATTTTTCTAAATAGTTTTATATCTGCATGCTGTTACTCATATGCAGAACTCGTTGTAAACATATAGCAAATACTGAAACATCTAAGACTCTTTTAATCAGTCCTGGAACTACCAAAATGAATACCGTTTTTAGTCTCATGAAAAATAAAGCTCCATAAGGATAACCTCCATGATTGAAAGAGCCATTCCTATTCAACCTTGCTGAACTTTAAAACAAAACACACATAATACAGTCCCTTAATATTTAATTTCAAGTTACTGTTGATAGATATACAAACTACTTCAACATTCAGCAACAGACACAGTGTTACAGAAAATAGCTCATCACTTACAAGATTCTCTTTATGATGTCCAACATGTTCCAACTACAAGGCAACTTCTAAAATTTTTCTTTCATCCTTTAAAATCAGTCGTTTTGCTGTGTATATCTACATTAACTTTGCTTTGTAATTTTCAACTAACGATTGGCGTTTCCTTTACTCCTCCTACTTCACACATTTTAACTGGCTACTACTAGAGAATCAGCCTTAGTTTAGGTCAAAGAGAAATAATTAAACCAGAAGAGGGAAAAAAGTTTCTCTTAAAGGGTAAGGAAATGAATTTTCTATTTTATAAAATATATAAAATTGCTGTAATGACTCCCTCAGTAGCTATAAGTGGGTTCCCTCATAGTCACAATACTAAGTACAAAATCACAAATTATTAAAAATTTTAATGGTAGGTATTAAGCATTATTCTAAAACTTTCTACACTTAGGAAGCAGAAAATAACTATAACTACACTGTATTACAGTCTGTTTCATAATTACAGTTTATTCAAGGGGTAGTTTGCTATTAGCATCAAAGAGACAGAAGAAAAAAATGGTTAAAACTAATCTTACGTGAAGGGATTATTTGCAACAGGTATATCAAGTGGTTAAATTGCTCTTTTACATTACTCAATTTTTAAAAAATACACTCAATTTTTTAAAATAAATTTTTCTAATCAGATCAAGAACACCAGACGTTTCAAGGAATACTGGAGCATTAGAAGTAAAGCTGTCAAAAAAAATGTTAAAATTATTACAAAGAATATGCTGAGATGGTCCTTTCTCTATCCTATCTGGGGTCTTCTGAGGTGACATTCTTAATAACTACTCTATATGAAAATTTCCCAAACCTGACCAAGTTTCTAAGGCATAAAAATAAACTGGAGATCATCTCTTGTTGCATTTCATATTTTTTTAACATTGTAACTAATTCTTTCTCTTCTGAGAAGTGAACTTCACCCTTCCCTACCCCTGTCAAACAGCACCTTAGAGCCTAGAGAACTTAACATGAACCACTAAACCAGACTAATTACAGGTGAGTAGTGGGCTTTCCCACTACTAGGTATAGGTTATCATACTGCATACATTCCTCCATTCCATGATATATGCAAAGTCTCATTTCAGATTTCTTGCATAATGATTATCATGCCATAGAATAGGGATATAGCTCAGTGGCAGAGAGCCCGCCTGGCAAGCGCAAGGTCCTGAGTTTGATTCCCAGTACCAAACAAAAGAAAAAAAGAACAGATCATACCATTTATAAAATGTCATAAGTATTGCCGCAATTCTGTAAAATATTTTTAAAAGCTTATGTGAGGGAGAAAACATACAGTGATCGATTAAAACACCACAAATATAAGCAGACAGAGCGTGTGTGTGTGTGTGTGTGTGTGAGAGAGAGAGAGAGAGAGAGAGAGAGAGAGAGAGAGAGAGAGACAAAGAACAAGACACAGACTATCAAGTGTCCTTGATATTTCAGCATTATTTTGAATTAATCAAGAATTTTCAATCTGTGGCTACTCAAAATCTGTCCATATTTATCATAAAGCCTGTTAAAAACAAACTGACTCACCAAATATCCTACAATGAAGAACTTATTTATGAAAATTTATTAGATGACTGATTAAATTTCTACATAAAATCTTTCTAATTGACCAAAGTAACTGATTAAATATGATTAGTGATTTCCAAAGCAATACTTCTGGTCTACATCAATAATAATTTTACAGTTTCAAGATTTAGTAGTGACAAAGTTTTATAACTTGCTTCTAAAACAAGACAGCTAAATTCTATAATCCAGAGGAGAGAATTAAAAACCTAAGAACAAACATAAAAGACTACTGTAATAATATAAGAAAGTAAAAGATATCAGTGCAATTCCCAAAGGTTCACAGTCATATTTTAAATTATAATTCTAATTTTACATGAAAAACTGTTAAGATTTCACTTTTACATTTTAAAAAACGTTTGAAATGTGAAAGATTAAAAACAAATCATAGAAAAAGATATTGTGCATCTCTGTGAACCTCCCAATAGTTTCTAAATCACAAGAAGGGCACGAAATGTACATGATTATATTATATTTTTGATCTTCTAACAGAACAAAAAAATTAATCTATTCAATTAATCCCTTCAAGATAATCACTGTTAGTCTGACCTACTTAAATCAGTCATGCTGAAGTTAAATTCAGTAAGATAGAAATGTTCCAGTTTGTTAAAAGAACACTGAAATATTTGATGGTTAAATAAACTGTTGGGGGGGGGGCTAACTCATTGAAGGCACTGAGATTTTATCAAACACAGAATTAATCTTTATTGAATAGAACCATTCACAAATCAAATCTCGCTGTACTTCAATACTTTCAAGCAACGCTAATCAATTACAAACCTTTTCTAGTGCTTCAAAACTCATGTGCTTTCAATTTTACACACTGGTGGTCCTGAAGTACTATATTGGGGCTGAGTTAAGACATTCTGTATCACAAGTTTTTTTCAACAAATATTCATCTACAGGGTTTTTTTTCCTCTCAAGAGCTGCTCACATGAAAACTGTGGTAATATTTTTATACTGTACTTCTTTGTTAAAGCAAAAGGTTAAGGGTTACCTAAATACCTCAACTATATACACACACACACACACACACACACACACACACAGTATATAGGAAAAGGTAAGTATTCACATAAAAAAAATCCAATGGGACTGGATTATTTATTTTTGCATTTCCTATGATTAATGATGCACCCGAGCATAGCTGAAGACTGATGGCAAAACAGGGTAATCTCAAATTCCTATCCAAAGCAGACAACTGCCAACCTTCTATGCTGGCCTAACATCCCAAGACAGTGTGACAATTCTAAATTAACAGTGAACTCATGCAAAAGCTCACCATAATAAACATGAATATAGCAAATGCTAAGCAATTTTTTTAGAGACATTTTTATATAACGCATTCCCTGGAAGTATTTATTCTCTACAGTGTCTCTTTAAAAATAGACAAATGGGAAAAACAATTCAATGGGGAAAATGTCCTTCCTGAAAATCCTAAAATTCTAATTATAATGCCTATTCTTTCTATTCATTTATCAAGCCAAACTTTAATATTAAATTGGTATCAGCAAAAACACTGCCAGTTTAGGCAGACTTCCCATTGGGTTATCTTAACGCATTATTTTGTTCTTCTTATTTCAGTAAATTCTATGTAACTTCCACTCAAGATAAAATTCTACAAAAAAAAAAAAAAAAGCTGTCACTAAGCTCCTGTAACATAAACAGTAAACTCTAATACTTGGTATTTTAGAAATGGTAAAATATGGAAAATCTGCACACCAAATCTGAACTTTCCAATATTTTAAAACAAATGTTCAAAAAAGGAAGTCTCAGATAATGCCACTGTTCTTTAATACAATCTTGTCATATCAAAAAGATTATGGAATTTACAGGATATGCATTTTGATTAATGTGTTACAATTCAACAAATGGGGCAACTCTATACCTTATTCAAAGGGAGTTTCCTTATAATCTTAACCAAGTTAACCACAAGCTTTTGTCCATTCAACAGGAAATATACATAAAACAGACCATACATTCCCATGTAACTTTTTAAGACCTACATAGCAACTGAGATTAAATGCTCCTTAATTATAGTGCATACAATATCTTCACCTTATATATATTCTTAGGAATTTCCTCCCCCTTTTACTACTAATAAGGACATAGGACTCAAGTTTGGAATAGTGTTGAATGGATGTAAGAAACACCCTATAAAACATTTTAAAATACTAGTTGTTGTTGAACAGGCATTAACTCTAAAGGATATTTTTTCATAAACATGCTTCCTTCTAATAAATAGAAACCACAGCACTTAATATAAAGTATTTTCCCCAAATAAGATGAGCTACAGAATTTTTTAAATTCCTTTAAAGGCTAGTTGCTAAGTAAACATTTATTCTCTGCACTGGAAAAAAACTTTGCTATCATGGACTA